CCTTGGACCTGTGTGCATTGAAACCTCATTTAATAGGTAGCCGAAAGATGAGGCTAAAAGTGTGGGTTTGATTGAGAGCATTTTAGTGACTTTGTAGTGAGCTGAGATGGAATTAAATCATGAGTAAGTTTTAGGGCATTTCAACTCTCTTACCTGTCTACTTGTGCCATTTTCCCACTGCAGCCGCCTCTGATTCCAGGGATGCATGGAAAAAGGTCGATTTCCATTGTCTTTGCCATTAGTCTCGTTTTGGCCTGGTTGGAGATTTCTCTTCATAGGCATTTTCTCTAAGAAGGGGAGAATATGAGGCTATTCTTGCCCACTTGCTTGCTGTAAAGTTCTAGGAAGTAAGACCCACATTTTGTAAATATACCCCCTTTTCCATGAAAAGATGGCATTTTGGCTTGATGTGTTTGTAATGTGTTAGGGTTTCTAGGTGTATGATTTGGCTTTCTCATCCTCTTCAGGTCAAGTTTTCTTATCTCAGAAATTCGGTGCACTCCACCACTGTGAGGTATCATTATGAAATAATGACCAGCAAGGTCCAGCTGGTAGCAGGAAAGACTTATCTATTTGAGAATGGGAAACGTTAGTGCGTATTTTAAAATCCGCAATGAGCACAGGGACGTTTGCCTAAGTACCGGGCATGAGTCTGTAGTCTAGGGTAAAGATTCCAATGAATGTTTTTTCCCCCCAAGAGTCTATCACACATGTTTTCCTTTAATACATTGTGAATGTGAAACTTTACTACTGTAAATCAGTCACTGCATAAAATCAAAGAACAAAAAGAATTCTACCCATGAGGTAGAAAACACAAGCCTGAAACAGTGACCTCTTTTTTTTTTTTTTTTTAGATTCACTAATGCTGTGATAATACTTTTGGTTTACTAATTTTTGTGAAGAATGATAAAATATAGACAAAACTGGGTCTCGTCAACAGCATTAATATTGAATTCAGTTTCCTACAAATAATGAGGGGGATTTTTGTTTGTTTGTTTAGTGCAAATTTAGAATTACAGAATAATTTGGCACATATTCCTACCTCAGTCCCACCCCTAGTATGGAAGTCTTGTGTTAGTGCAGCACATTGGGGACAGTGAATGACTTAATTCACCTGTATTGATGACGTTAGTACTGTCACTGCATTGAGGCTGTTCACTCTATGCAGTTCTCTGGGTTTTGACAAATGCAGAGCAGCGCGTGTCCAACCGCCACCGTTAAGGTTATGTTATGTTATGTTATGTTACTGCAGTAACATATAGATGAGTTTCACTGCCCTCAACACCCTTCCCTTACTCGTCCCTCCCTTTTCTTCCTCCAAGCCCCTGGCCACCACTGATCTTTATACTGCCTCTATAGTTTTGTCTTTTCCAAAATGACATATAGTTGGAATCATACGATTTATTTTTAAGATATCTTTGCATGCTTTGTAAGGTTCAGTGTGACAGCAGTTGTTTAAAGAAAAAAAAAAAGGAACAAAACTGACTTCCTAGACTTCATTTTGACCTTTGTTTTAGGGACACTGCTTCTTTTAGATCATTTGGCCAGGGAAATAGGATTTATGTGGCTTAGTATCCTCAGCGCTATATTCGTGCCTAGCAAATGTGATGAGTGTTCACTGATTATGTTATGTGGTAAAACAAAATGTTATTTATTTGCTAAATATCTGTATGTTTACATGTAACACGTAACACATTATGTTCATGTCCAGACATTTCTGTCAGTCTTTTCGTTGCTTCATTTCATTGTCTGCTATTTATTTATTTATTTATTTTTATTTTTTTAAATTTATTTGACAGACAAAAATCACAAGTAGGCAGAGAGGCAGGCAGAGAGAGGGGAAGGAAAGCAGGCTCCCTGTTGAGCAGAGAGCCTGATGTTGGGCTCCATCCCAGGACCCTGGGATCATGACCTGAGCCGAAAGCAGAGGCTTTAACCCACTGAGCCACCCAGGCGTCCCCATTGTCTGCTATTTAAAAAAAAAAAAATGCGTTAACTGGATCTCCTCTATCCTTCCCCACCCTATGGGAAAGGAAGCCTTCCCTCCTCCTCCCACCCCAACTTCACAACACACACGTGCCCAGCTGGAGTTTCAGTTTGGTGGTCCACAGTTCACATAGCTTCTGATTGCTTTGGATAAATATTATGAAAGTCCTGGGAAATAAATAGGTCATAGAAAAGCATAACAACTAAGAAATAAGGAAAATTTGAGATGAATTTAAATGTGTATTGAATCCTTTTTTAAAGGCTTCCATTTTCTGGGTGGTGGCTATGAAGGAGGGCACTTGTTACAATAAACACTGGGTGTCAAGTGACGAATCACTAAATTCTACTGAAACCGGTATTAAAGCATAAGTAAAATTTTTATTTATTTATTTATTTTAAAGATTTGATTTATTTATTTGAAAGAGAGAGACACAGCCAGAGAGGGAACACAAGCAGGCTTCCCGACGAGCAGCAAACCCGATGTGGGGCTCGATCCCAGGACCCCAGAATCATGACCTGAGCCGAAGGCAGTTAATGACTGAGCGACCCAGGCACCCCTGAAAAAATTTTTAAAAAGAAAAAAAGAAAGAATTAAAAAGACTATCCTTTTCAATTCAAATGCGAAAGCCCAAAAAACGTAAATGTAATAGCTCACAGTCTATTATGTTATGTGTATGTTCTGAATTTTCTGAAAGAACCAATCACGTCTTAAACTAACACTTGAGATACTGAGGTGACACAGTTGATATTCCTTCAACTTACCCTCCCCCCTCTTGCAGTGGATAGCTCATTGGATACTTTCTGAGCCCAGGTGCATATCGTCATGGTAGAATATTTCCAGTTATTTCCTTTTATTATCTCATCTGTAGTTTTAGAGGGATGAGAGTTTATCTCTCCTTTTCTTTAGTATACTTTGCTTTCATTTTTTTTTGGAGGGTGGTGAGTTTTATAAATACACACTTTGGGGTACCTGGGTGTCTCAATGCATTAAGCCTCAGACTCTTGATTTAAGCTCAGGTCCTGCTCTCACAGCCCTGGGACCATGCCCCGCTTTAGGCTCTGCCCTTATGGGGAGTCAGCTTGAGTTTCTCCTCTCCTTCTGGCCTTTCCCCTGTCCCTCCCCTGCAGACACACACATTTGTGTGGGTGACTACACGCACACGCTCTCTCTTTCTCTCCAAAATAAGTCTTAAAAAAACAAAAAGACACAATTTTATAGTATTTGCATTTAAGAGTTTGCCCTTGAACAGGTGGAGTGAAATAGGGAGATCACTGGGCCCAAAGCAAGACAAATGATGACCAAAAGGGCACGTGTAAGATGAATCTTGAAAAAAAAAAAAGGCTTTCCTTTTTAGGGTGGCTGGGTTTATTCAGTTGGTTAAGCATCTGCCTTAGGTTCAGGTCATGATCCCAGAGTCCTGGGATGGAGCCTCCCTCTCTGCTCAGTGGGGAGCCTGCTTCACCCTCTCCCTCTGCCTGCTGCTCCCCCTGCTTGTGTGTGTGTGCTCTCTCTCTCTCTCTCTCTGTTTCTGTCAATAAATTTAAAAAACTTGGAAAAAAAAAAAAAAAGAAATAGGCTTTCCTTTTTAGTAAAATAAAATAGAGAAGAAAATACAGTGTATACCCTTTTCACAAGTGGTTGTTTGGTGACATATACACTCAGAGCAAAAATGGCCAGAGATGTTTCTTGCTTGCCTTCAGCATGGTGCTCATAACTCTAAAATGTCATTTATTTATTTATTTATTTTATTTTATTTTATTTTATTTTTTTTAAAGATTTTTATTTGACAGACAGATCACAAGTAGGCAGAAAGCCAGGCAGAGAGAGAGAGGAGGAGGAGGCAGGCTCCCTGCTGAGCAGAGAGCCTGATGTGAGGCTCAATCCCAGGACCCTGGGATCATGACCTGAGCCGAAGGCAGAGGCTTTAACCACTGAGCCACCCAGGCGCCCCAAATGTCATTTATTTATGAGGGAAACCAAGGCACAAAAACTAAGACGTGTGTACTGTGTGCTTTGTGTAAAAAAAAGAATGTAGCTCATTAATTAAATGTATTTGCATCTAAAATAATGCTGTATAACTTAAAACTTCCATGATTGAGGATATGGAATCATAGATAGAGCTTATTTCCTTTTTTACACGAAGTGCACAGTACATTTCCTGTAAAAAAATAAATGTTGAATTAATCACCAAGTCAGAGAATGAAACTGACATAAACTAGTTTTCCTTTGAGACAAAAGAAGAAAATAATGCTGTGCTGTTTCATTCCATGGTAAGATGGGTCAGCATCCCAAAATAATTAACATAACTTATGTATTGTCATAAAGCTAAACTGTGGATTGGTGTAGGTCATTTTTATTGTGGAATTAACAAATGAAACCAGTTAATTAAAATGTAGTCCACTTTACAGATCATCCTATGGGTCAATCTAGTTAAGCAAAAAAATTTAAAAAAAAAGCCAGTGTCACATGACTGTCTTCTATATTTTAAGAGATGTGTTTGTTTAAAATCACGTGGACCCTAAAAGTCTTATACTATTTTGACTTATTTAGCTACTTTTGTAGTGCGTGTATCTGTTTGGTTGATTAGTGAACACTGTACCTGTGCAATATAGTGGTTGCATTTCTGAAATCCCGCATCAGAGTATCTTTTGTGTGGTGCATTGAGTCAAGTCACTTCTGAGAGTCAGAGTCATAGATTAGGTTGTGTTGGGATTTTTAGTTCTTTTTTTTTTTTTTCAAGGTTTATTTATTTATTTTAGAGATAGAGCTAAGGGAGCAGGAGAGGGAGAGAGAAAGAGAAGCAGGCTCCCCACCGAGCGCCCCAACGCTGGAATCAAGAGTTGGAGGCTCACCTGACCAAGCCACCCAGGCCCCCCTGGAATATTTAGTTCTGAGAGGGGGAGCTCGTTTGCTCCTGTCCCATCCTAACTGGTATTACTTAAAAGCACTTAATATCCTTAATACAATCTATAAAACAATTATATGAGTTTGGAATTATATTGCTCTTTTGTAGGTAGATAAACTCACACCTAGAGAATTTTAATGATGATATACCAAGATGACACAGCTAGTAAGTGACAGGGTAAGTCATGAATTCTTTTGTGTCTAAATCGAATTTTCTTTCTTATAATAACCACACTGCACGCTTATAAAGCTAAGGTGATCCTAGCAGTTAAACCATGAGCTATGTAATGTTAGGTGACTTTTATAATCTTTTCTAAAAACTACCATGAGATTATTTCTCAACAAGTTTATAAAGATAAGTTGAGATACAATTTGTTTAAATGCTGGCTGGCTGGGTGAGCAGATGAGTGGCTAGATAAATGGGTAGTTGGGACACCCTGTGTGTGTGTGTGTGTGTGTGTGCGCGCGCGCGTGCACGTGTGTGTAAATGCTCTGCTTCTCTAAAAATCCCTGGGGCCATTAAAGATGAAACAGACGGCATGTAAATCTTGGATAACACTTAACAGAATACTGTCTAAGCAGCCCTCAACCATGACTACACATAACAATCTCTGGCGGGTTTTCCAAAGATGAGATTGTGTCCAGACATTTTTTCCTCTCTTGTTAAGATTACCAAGTGTTTAAAAGACATGACCAATATTGAAAGCACTTTTTAGTCATTGCCAGAACATAATAAGATTCAGCTGCTGATAACGGCCGACTATAGGAGACACATCCAGTACTATGGGTACCGGCGTTAGGAGATTTTAGATTCATTTTTATATTCACTCAACAGAACGCCTAAAGCTTAAGTTACCTTTTAAAATATTTGTTCAGGAAAAAGTTTATCTTGTTAGGAAAGCTCACGTGTAATCCCCAGATCACTGAAAGGAATATGTTCACTAGAATATTATGTATAATATTTTATTGAGTGGATATTATGATTAAAATTGGCTTTGGAGTTTTGAAGAAAAGACTATGTGACCATATAATCCTGTTTGTATTTATCTTTATAGATTTTCACATACATATTTTATTAAGTGTATTGTTACATTTATCTTATTGCAGTTGGTGTATATTTAGGCAGTAATTTGTTAAGACATTTTGTTAAAAAATTTCTGTCATTACCCTTTCAAGGAATAATATGTAATCCTTCGGAAAGATCATATGTATGTAATGATATACATTATGAAGTGTTTCTACAGTGATGAATTACACCTCAGCCCTTGGTTTGTAAACCTATGTGGGAATCTGGATAGGTAGGAGAGATAAATTTGTGGTGGAAGTAGTCACTATTTCTAAAATTAGAACTCTAGATATATCTAATACAGAAAAAAAAAAAAGAAAAATCAAGACCGTGTTTGATGATAGCATGTTCTTCATGAAGTATTTTGTTCTTTTCATGATAAATCAGTTGAGATACTTCATGAAATTCATTATTCTCATGTGTTTAGGGGTGTTGTTTCTTTTAATGATGTCAAATATATTAAGTGTTTGATCATTTCCACACCAGGACATCAACAGCAAAATTCGGCTAAAGTCAGCACTCCCAGACAAAAATCTTGGTGGCTTTGATATAAACAAACAACAACAGGGGCACTAAGTTGACCCTGAGATTGAATAGTCCATCCGTGTTGTAGCAAGAATTGAGTGGTTAGTAATCAAGGGTAGAATTTTAGTGTGGAATCCTTTCTTTGTTTTTTAACAGCAGTTTCTCTGTGGTGCTTAAAACTTCTCACTTCTCTTTATTTCTAATCTTTTCGGCATTCCTACCCCTTATGTGTTTCCCGGTAACATGCCATATCTTTTCTCACTTTCTCAAGTATCCGTACAGGCATTCCTCATTGTATCAGCTTTGCTTTGTCATGCTTCACAGATAGACTGGTTTGTTTTCTTTTTCTTTTCTTTTCTTTCTTTTTTTTTTTTTTAAAGATTTTATTTATTTTGACAGAGAGATCACAAGTAGGCAGAGAGGCAGGCAGAGATAGAGGGGGAAGCAGGCCCCCCTGCTGAGCAGAGAGCCCAATTCGGGGCTCGATCCTAGGACCCTGAGATCATGACCTGAGCCAAAGGCACAGGCTTAACCCACTGAGCCACCCACACACCTGTTTGCTTTTTCTTAAACTGATTAGAGTTTTTGGCAAACCTGCATCTAAGCAAGGCTGTTGGTGCCATTTCTCCAAGAGCATTTGCTCACTTTGTGTCTCTGTGTCACATTCTGGTGATTTTCACAACATTGAAAACTTTTCATTTTATTCAGTTCATTATGGTGATCTCAGACCGGTGATCTCTGGTGTTACTATCGTAATTGTTTTGGGGCACCGTGAACTGCACCCATATAGGACAGCACCCTTGATAAGGGTTGTGTGTGTTCTGACACCCCCCCACCAACAGCTGTTCCCCATCTCTCTCCCTCTGCTTGGTTTCTCTGTTCCCCGAGACACAAAAATGTTGGAATTGGGCTAGTTAATAACCCTATTGTCTCCTCTGCGTCTTCAAGTGGAAGGAGCAGGCATACATCTCTCACCGTCAATCCAGAGCTAGAAACGCATAAGCTTAGTGCAGGAGGCTTGTCAAAAGCCGAGACAGGTTGAAAGCCAGGCTTCTTGCACAAAACAGTTAGCTAACTTATGAATGCAAAGGAAAAGTTCTCGAAAGAAACTGCAGGTGTGAGCCAGTGAATGCACAGGTAGAAAAGTGAAAACAGCTTTATTGCCGATAGGGAGAAAGTTTGAGCGCTCTGCATAGAAGATCAAAGCAGCCATAGCAATCCCTTCAGCCAAAGCTCAATCCAGAACAAGGCCCTAACTCTTGAATTCTATGAAAACTGAAAGAGGTAAGGAAGCTACAGACGAAAATTGGAAGCTACATTGGTTCATGAGGTGTAAGGAGAGAAAGAAGCCATCTCCAGAACATAAAAGTGAGAGGGGAAGCAGTGGTTGCCGCGGAGAAGCTGCAGCGAGTTCTCCAGTACCTCGGGCTCGGATGATTCATGAAGGTGGCTACAATGAACGACCGATTTTCAACCTAAACAACCTTCTGTTGGAAGAAGATGCCATCTGGGGCTTTCATAGCTGGAGAGGAGAAGTCAGTGCCTGGCTTCAGAGGACAGGCTGACTCTTTAGTGAGGAGCTAATGCAACTGACGACTCTTAAGTTGAAGCCTGTGCTCAGTGACCATTCCGAAAATCCGAAGGCCCTTGGGAATTCTACTACACTACTGTGTCTGTGCTCTGTAAATGGAACAACGAAGGCTGGATGACAGCCCCTCTGTGTACAACATGGTCTCCTGAAGCTTTTAAGCCCCCTCTTGAGACCTCCTGGTCAGAAGAAAGATTGCTTTCACAAGATGACTGCTCATCGACAGGGCACCTAGTCACCAAAGAGCTCTGAGGGAGATGTGTAGAGATGAATGCTGATTGTATCCCTGCTGACACGACGTCCGTTCTGCAGCCCATGGATCAAGGAATCATTTCAACTTTCACATCTTATTATTTAAGAAATACATTTTGCAAGGCTGCACCTGCCGTAGACAGCGATTTCTCTGGTGGATCCAGGTTAAATAAATCGAAAACCTTCTGGAAGGGTTCCCCCATTCTAGTTGCCCACACATTCGTGATTCATGGGAAGAAGCCAAAATATCAACAATCACAACCGTTTGGAGGAAGTTGATTCCAACCCTCATGGATGACTTTGAGGGACTCAAGTGGAGGAAGTAACTGTAGATGAGGAGGAAATAGCAAGAGAACCAGAATTAGAAGTGAAGGTTAGCATTTTTTTTTTTTTTTAGCAATAAAGTATTTTTAAATTCAGATATGCACATTGTTTTGTTAGACATAATGGTATTGTGCACTTGGGAGACTACAGCTGTAGTGTAAACATAACTTTTCGAAGCACTGGAAAGCCAAAACATTCACTTGACAGGCTCTATGGCAGCATTTGCTTTATTGCCTCGGTCTGGAGCTGAACCCACAGTATGTCTGATGTATGCCTGTAGTCCTTTTATTTAATTTCTAGCTGCTCCAAATACCTCTCATTTGATGTTTTCCTCGGTCTCCCAGAGCTCTTGTTGCTCTTAGCTGTGCGCTCCGTTCCCATCACCTCACGTTGCTGCGTGTATATGGATTCACCTCAGAACCGATGCATTTCAATCTTCACCTTTCAGGAAGTGAATTCCAAATGATGATTTCAGGATCTAGTCTTTCAGGTCTTTTCTCTTTCCTAAAAGAAGGAGCGGAAGTGGGCCACAGATGTTTTGAAACCATTTTGAAGTGGTATTGCTAGCTTCCCACCTGTGGATGTGCGGCCCGAAGCTACAGGGGGGCTTTACCTGCCGCCTCTCAGTAGGAGAGATACATATGGGCTGTGAGGATGTAATATTATGTCAATACCGTAAACAGGTGAATGGTACAATAAAGACTTTGTTCTCTTTCTACTGACGAGGCATCATTTGGGGACATCCTGGCTGCATTTCACCTGCTACGTGGGAAGAAGGATCCGACACATGCCTCTGTGACGGTGGTCCTTGTAACTTCATGCATAATGTGGCCAGCGTTCCAAAGACAACGTGTGTGGTCCTTGTGTTGGATTTATCCTTGCTAATTATCATGACCATTTTCTATATTTTGGCTTAAGCTCATGTAAAAGCTAAGTAGTTCTCACATGCGTGAAAATACCTAGAGACTCTTAATATTTGGTCCTTCATGGCTTTCCTAGGATATGCAACAGAATTATAAGAGGGACACTCTGCTTCTGTTGTTATAAAACAGTTTAAGGAATAAATTTGTTTCTGAGGGAGGGAATAAGCAGATACAAAAGGTGAACTCCTGTTCATAATCTAGAAAAGTCGAAGCCATTCGCAAAGCTCAGTGACACTTGATGTCTCAGAAGCTATCTCTACAAATAAGCCCCATCTTTCTCAGCTCTTATATTGTCACAGTCTGTTAGTCTTTTGTTTATATTATGATATGTTGCTACAGTGATGACTTACACCTCAGCCCTCAGTTTGTAAATCTGCATAGAAACCTTTTGTCTAACGAGACACAAAAATCTCTGTTTCCGAAATTAGAATTCCGGATATAGTTAATACAGTAGGAAGAGAGAAACTAATCAAGCCTATATTTGAAGTCAAACAGTGTTTTTTAACTTGTATTTAATGACATATTTTATAATTTTAATGACAAACCACTTGGGATATTTTATAAAAGCAGCCTCAACAAAGAATTTCTATGTGGGTATAACACACTAGTAAGAAATACCTTAGATTGTTCTAAAAAGAAATTAAATGATAATGCTGGGAATCAATTGAAATACTGTTCTAGTTAGAAGAGTAGATAATGCTAATAGCTTTTTTAGAAGTAACCTGGTTTATGGTATTTGTGGGGGTTTTTTGTTTTGTTTTGTTTCTTAATGTCTGAAAAGATTTAAAGAGTTATTTCTCAGTTTCAATACAAAGAATGATATCTTGGCACTGAGAATTTCATGCAGTAGATTGGATGGTTTATTTTTATATTTTCTAATTCTCTTCTTTTTTGTGTGTAAGTAACCATCTTAGCTTAGGAAAAAAAAACCAACAATAAAACATCAACCCGTTTCCCTTTTTAGTTGATCTGGTACCATTGTTGACTTATTGTCTTGTTGAATAGAATTCCCTTGCACTACTGTCTATTGTATGTTTTGAATGGAGCTATAATTTATATTCTATAAAGAAAGGTTTTAAGAAACATGTTTTGTTCCTTTAAGTGTATGCTCAAATTTTAGGGGGAATAGCAAACTAAGATCTTTTATTAAACAAAGAATGAAATGAACCAATGTAATATAATTTTAGACATTGTTGTTCTGATGCCATAATGAAGCTGAAAAAAAAGTTTTTGGTCTTTGTATAATAGAACATCAGTGCCTATGTTAGCCTGGCCAAATTAGATATAACCAAAATAATCTGTCACAGTCTAATTTTCTATGGTAAGGATAGTCTGGCACATGACAATAAAATTGTAAGGCCATTTTGTTAGACCTTGGAGGTGGGCATTCAATGAATACTTGTTGAATTTATGAATGAATAAATATAAGGATAAATCATATTTTTATCTCGTAATAAAAATGTTGAGTCCATTAGTCTGGGTAGAATCTTGGATTTATTATTATTATTATTTAAAATTTGCTCATTAAAACTGAAAAATATAAAATTGAACTCGTACAAAATTATCTTTATGTTAAGTTAAATAAAATATTCATAAACAATTTAAAATTTTCAGAATAAGTTTTTTCTAAAATTATTTCCTAAAATGTTTGTTGTGGTAGTTATGTACATTATTTTGAGAAGAAAATGTTGCTATCACTAGGAGTTAAAATATAAACCAATTGGTAGAACACATTTATATTTAATAATGTAGCAATTGTGCTCCTTTTCAGTGCTTGTCATGAGAATGATATGGGAGCTCTTGCACCATATATGAAAGTTGAAATATAGTGATTTTCCCCAAAATTATTGCCAGGTACTTTTATGCCTCCAGATTATGATAGTGTTGAGTAAGGGTTAGAATCATGAAATTGTAGAATTGCAGAGTTGGAAGGGGTGTTTAAGTGTCTCTCCTCAAGATTCCCATCGCTTTACAACTGAGGAAAGTGAGACTCACAAATGCAGAATGGGTCAAGCCAACAACATGAATGCTTTTAATTAGAATAATTGTTATTTTAAATAAGTAAGTGGTTGTATTTGTATAGTTTTAAGTAGGTAATGCTTTGTATACTGCCCTTGTCTTTTAGAGCTCTTATGTACAACTGCTGTTCATTTTGGGGTTCTTGTGGCCTCTTTTCTCCTCCATGGAGTACTTCTTTCACTGATATTAACAACTGTGTCTGTCTCTCCCAATAGGATGAAAATGTCCTTATAGGAGAGGCCTTGTCTTACGCTGTTTTGTACTTTTGTCCTCTCAACTCTAATCACGATGATTGTCACAGAGTAGATCTTCAAATATTTGGGGAATGGGTAGTGTCTCATAGCAATAAGGGAAAAATTAATAAGCACTCCAGTCATAAATCTTGCCATCTCTTCGGTATGTGATTAACAAGGATCCGTATGTGTCCCCTTTTTCTCCCCACAGTCTCCAAACGTCCACAACTACCCCGATATGGAAGCTGTTCCCCTGTTGCTAAATAATGTGAAAGGGGAGCCTGCGGAGGACTCGTTATCTGTAGATCACTTCCAGACACAAACTGAGCCAGTGGACTTGTCAATCAACAAAGCCAGGACATCCCCCACCGCCGTGTCATCCTCTCCGGTTTCCATGACAGCGTCCGCCTCCTCACCTTCTTCAACTTCAACCTCTTCATCGTCTTCTAGTCGTCCAGCCTCCTCCCCGACCGTTATCACATCAGTATCTTCAGCATCATCTTCGTCAACAGTATTAACTCCAGGGCCCCTCGTAGCCTCCGCGTCGGGGGTGGGCGGCCAGCAGTTTCTGCACATCATTCATCCTGTCCCGCCTTCAAGTCCCATGAATTTACAGTCTAACAAACTGAGTCACGTTCACCGCATCCCCGTGGTGGTACAGTCGGTGCCTGTTGTCTACACAGCTGTGCGGTCACCTGGAAATGTGAACAACACTATCGTAGTGCCGCTTTTGGAGGATGGGAGAAGCCATGGCAAAGGTAAGGGGACCCAATGGAAGCCTTGATTTCTTTCAGCGTGAGGGGTAACTGTGCCTTTATTGAGTGAGCTGCCCCTGAATCCTGTGCAACACACCACATCCAAAGAGGTTCTGTGCACCACGCAGATGTGAGCAAATGAGCACGGTCAACCGCGTGTTGGCATTGGTATTTGCTTCCGTGTTCTTCAGTCTATATTTTTACGTATCGAGTCATTTAGTGTTGGAATTCAAATGTCTTCCTTTGCAAAATGATGTTTGCCTTCAAAGGCTCAAATGGAAAGGATAATCTGTATTTAGCATAACTGCCTGTAAGTTGAGTCGCCAGTAAAATAATTCTAAAGTGAGGTGTTTGACTACAAAAGTCTCATGTAGCTTGAGGTCTTATCTTAGTGGAAGTTACTGTCATTTTAAATACCGGTATGACTCGGTATGATGCAGTATTTCAAAATGCAGTATTAAAATTCCCTTCCAGGATTTAGAAGGCAGGAAATGCTTTGCTACATAACTCTATTTAATAATACCTGGTTGCCTAATTTTGTATATGGCAGTTATGCAGTTGATCATGAAGTTGCTTTCCTACTTCTAAGCTCTTATTTTTTTTTCAGTTTTTACTAGAAGGAATTAAAGTAGCATCATGCTGTCGATTTGGTTTTCCTTTATCATGAATCTACAATATAAGCCATCTTTCTGTGGAAATGGAAAATGCCCGTAATCATTGACTCGTTCCCTCTAAAACTAAACATGTAGGCATGTGTATTGTCTTCAGGGCCTAGAAATGATGAGGGTTTAAGATATGTTGTATTCCTTTTGCATTGATATTGTATTACTACTGAGACCCATCATTAAAATATGATTGATGAATACATAAATACATTGCCTTCTCATAAAATGCTAGTAAGCCTGGATTTTTATAATCCTATAAGGTAGGATTCAGTGCCTAGAAACAATAGTTGATTGTGAAGTTAGAGAGATTTTTGCAAACAGACTCTACAAAACTGCATCTGTCTTTGGCAAGTTATTGTCTTACCTGCATTGAGTTTCTTCATAGCTCACGAAATGAATTGTACCTTCTTAGTATTACCAAGTGAAAAATATCACCTGATTTAAAACACTAAGAGGTTTTAGTGTGCAGACTTGGGCTGTAGCGTTCTGTGCTTAATGTGGAGACCCCTGTCTTTTGTGCTCTTTCGGGCAAAGGCCCTGAACTAGTCCCACCACCATCTGAGTGACCAAGTAGATGAAAAGGAGGTATGAAGTAGTCTTCACTTCGATTTTCCTTTAGTTGAATCCTCTCTGATGTTACTAACACTTCTGATCAAAAGGAGCTAACCGATTTGAATAATAGCATAACTGAAGGCCACTTCATGTGATTTTATTAGGTTAGGTATTTATCTTTCATAATTTAAAGATGTGTTCACAATTTTTTTAAGAATTAGGAATCAACAAAAAGCAAAAGTGGAAGCTTGCATATTGCATTACTTTATGTGTATATGTGTATACCACAGAATCCAGTCCTGTACCATTCCCCTCAAGGGAGATACTGCTTTAATTGTGAAGATGATTGATGAAGATTTTAATGTTGTTCAGGACTTTTTTTTTTTTTTTTTTTTACAATTTTGACATACTAATGAAGGCAACAAAAGAGATATATCTTTTATTTGACATTATCCTTCTAAGGGAGAAGTTATTTTTTTTTAAGGGGATTGATACTGAAAGTATATTGCCAAAATTTAATTTTCTGGAAACTATGTCTCTGCCGAAGAACTTTGTTATGACTCGTGCTATAATTTGCTCTCAAGTGTATTTGTTAGTTTCATGCCATGTTTTTTATTCAGCAGTTTTCTCTTGCCCAGAATAAAAATTGATATAATCATAAATCCCCTGGACTGTGATATGGACATTAGGAGCATGAGAGTCAGAATCAGGAATCTGAGTTAGACTTAGTCCCTTCACTTACAGTTTTGGACTGGGAAGTGTTATTCAAAGATTAAATGGGGATAATAACATGATCTATCCTTGAAGATTATTGAGGAGATTAAGTAAGAGCTTAATTTCTGGGTTAATCAACTATCAATAAAATGTTTGTAATTATTTTTTATCTCCTTCCCAAGGTACTTGAAGCAGTAATGTTCAGAAATTTTTTCTCTGTCGTATAAAAACAAAGTTGGAAGGAAAAAAACATACTGAATTTACAAATGAAAAACTGCTCCCAAGAAGTTAGTACAGAAATGCTTCTCAAAATTGTTACTACAAGTTCTAAGGGATGAGAGTTTACTATGAGAAATTATCTGGAAACATCCCATATTTTCTATTTTTATTAGTTTGTATTATGTTTTTATAATCACCCTATTATACAAATATTGCTATAGCATTTTATAAGGTTTTTTAAATTGTTTAACTGATTACTTAGATGATGGTAAAAGTGTCTAGTGGAGGAGGCCTGCCTACCTCACAGAATGAATAAAAGAAAGGGCATTTCAGTAATTCTTCAAGTCTTTATTTTGCACATGTGCAGCTGGGCACTGGGCCAACAATGAAATGGCTAAGTGATAAAGGGAGCCCCTATTCCATTCCCATGTTGGACTTGTATATCTGATATGGATAAGCAAAAGAAAATATGATAGGGGAGTTGGATTTTCAAAATGCTAACAATAAAATTATAAAACTAACCCATATAAATGCAGATGAATATACTGGCTAATTATTTTTAAAGTTGTTATAACACATCTGGTCTCTGGTAGATAAATCGTTTACCTTATCTGTCATGTACACAAAGACCTGTGAACGCACCCATCCATGTTTTAAGATGACGTATCATGTGAATTGAGTCATTTGTCCATTGAAGTATTTATTGAGCATCTGTCATGTAGTGAGTATTTTATTGGTCCAAGGATACAGTGTTGAACAAAACAGATGCTGTTTCTATCTCAGGGTGCTCATAGTCTACTGGGAAGTATCGACATTAAACAAACAAACAAAAAATCATATAATTAACTGATAATTGTGGACATTCTGTGCTTCAGTTGGATTAGAACATAGACTACGCATGGATTTTTGCCCAGGAGAGAGAGTTTAATTATAATTGCAGATGGAGAAAGTTGTATTTGATGAAAGTATTTTCACAGTGGGTATTATATATGGTTAGAAATGTTTCCACTGTGATGCTCAGGGGAGGTGGTTAGGGTTTGGGGATGAGGTAGGGTGAAATGTCCACGTGAGTATGCTTGACTAACGACAGAAGGAAGTGAGAAAACTTTCCAGTGAGGATAGAAACTCAGCCCATTCAAGTATTTGAAGAATATTGGTCTAAAGGAATGACAAACTAGGTCTGTGCACTGACATATCTCAGTTCGGCCTTGAACGTGATATGTGATCTGAAGAAAACAGCATGATACTCTGGACAAACACAACTTGGGCTAGAGCTACAAGAGGGAGGATGTCAGAGAAGGTCTCCTAAGGAAGACATTTTCCCTCTTGATACCAAAAGGACAAAGTGGCAGTTAGCCCCCAAAATGGTTGTGCTAAGAAATGGGAGCTCTCTATGTAGAGGGAACAGCCAATGGACTGATCTGGCCCGAGTTTTGTTGCTATGTCACCTGAGACACATTATTTATAAACAAGACCCTAAAGGGATTATTTGACCTCATAAAGGAGTTTTAGTCCAGCCTGGGGAAGTTTTTGGTAGGTTTCCCAGGAGATATTTTCATTAGTTTTTACAGATACTTAGTAGCAGAAAAGCGTAGGAGTTATAACAGATCACAAGCAAAGTTGTTCATGGTTTGTAATTGCCTGGATGAAAGCAAGTTTTGGGATCTCCCTCCCTCCCTTCCTTATTTCCCTCCTTCCCTTCTTCCTGTAGACATACTATATGCCAAGTAAAATTCTGAGAATTGAGGTTCCAAGATGAGCAAATGTCTACTGTAATGACCTTACTTTCTAGTGTAAGAGGCAAGCAATTTATGGCACATGGTCTAAGAGCTATAATGAAAAATAAGCCATGGTAAGGGAACGGGAAGTCAAAAGACAGGAGTGCAGTTTTAGGTACAATCTGGCCTACCTGAAATGTACGTTATGATAATAATACCTGGGGAAGACCTTTACAGAAAGAGAAAACTGGAAGTTCAAAGACCCTGAGGCATGGAGGGTGCGTGGTTGGTGTGAGGAAGAACTACAGGGCAGCTGGTGGAACCGGAGGGGAATGAGCGATGGCAGAGCAGTGGGATATGAGACCAGAGGGGTGAGTAGGACCGGATCATGTACGGCCTCAAAGAATTTGGTTACATTGTTTGTTTTTTTCCTATCTATGGTGGGAAGTCACTGAACTGGACCTTTGAGCAGGAAAGTGACATGACTACTTTTTACATTCTTCCTTTCACAAGAATCACTGAATCACTGCTTCATGAGAACTGAGAATTGGGAATGTGGTGACGGTGACAGTGTGTCAGTGGAGTCATGGGGACAAAGGACTGACTGAAGTGAGTTTGCGTTCAGCTGGGAGGTGAGGAGAGGAAGTCTAGGAAGCTCTTCGGAATAACTCTGCAGGAAAGAGTCGTACAGAGAAATGGATGGCGGGAGAGCGTTTTAGGCTCTCAAGGGAAGGATTTAAAAAGAGGGAGATATTATAACCCATTTGTATGGTATCAAGAATAATCCAATAGAGAGCTGAAAATGGGTAATTCTAGAGAAGAAAGAGCTGTAGAAGCAAAGTCTTTAATTGCACGTTCGTTGCTTATATGATACTGTGGAAGTAACCTACATCTCTCAGTAATTTATTGGAATTCTAAAGTCAACTTATTAGATTGACAAAGGTTTTAGGGAAAAAAAAGAGATACGATGGAAAGTTAAAGGAAATACAAAAACAGCAGATAATCATCCAGGGTTGATAATGAAAAGCAAATAAATTAATGTTCAATAAAATTGGGTCCATTGAGAGTTATAAAAGTGCTACCAGAATTAATGTAAGATCAAACATTTCTCATTCATCACCTAGAGGAAGGGATA